AAGATGTATTTTGTGTTGCACACCAAAGCAATTGGAAAAAATGGGRAAAAAAAGGCAATGGGGGGGAGCCACCTGTCCTTAAGTAGTCCTGGATGTGAGAACAGTGGCCGTTTGTTCATTGTTTGGAAGGAGCTGATCCTAARTGGTTGCATGCAGGCAGAAACGTGAAGGTTTTCTGCAAGGAAAGCTGCTTTGAGTAGGAGCCAGGTGTTCACGTGCTTTCCTGGGCATTTTGAGCTTCCCTTTTCCCTTTCCTGCAGAGAAGGAAAGGGGGTGGCTGGGGTACCGTTGAAAGAGGCTTTGTTTAGGTGGATAATGTTAATCCCATTGAGTGCTAAGTGAAAAGATAAAGTAASGCGTTTAAAGTTCTGCCTCCAGCCCAAAGGAATTGCTGTTCACCCCTTCACTGTCCTTACAGTGTCTCTTCAGAGCTTTTATCTTCATTGCTGGCTATCACACTGGCTTTCACTCAAGGCAGCTCACAATAAGGGCTGAGTCTTGTGATCAGCATGCTGGCAGCATTCRATTTTAAATTAAACTCATGTAGTCAAATGGCTTTACAACCTCTAAATGCTGATTTAGAGAAGCTTGTGGGTAAAACAGACAAATGGGCTTACTCTTTTGAGTCCCCCATGCTTATCTGCAGTTATACCAGTCCCTTGCAGCTTTGATATTCACTTTCTAGTGTGGGAATTGATCCTTTTTTTCTGATGCTTGCTTTGTTTGTACTTCTACACAAATGTCATAAGGGGCTGGGTTAAGTATTTCGACCTACTACATCAAAAGGTTCTTTTCCAGTCTCTAAAGCCATTCTGCAGGGAGCAGCTGTACCTTTCTTGCTCCCATAATCCTAAATCTTTGATGCCTYGCCCCTGGAGAGGCCGTGAAGCAACTTGCCTGACTTCAGCCTGGGGGCAAGAGAGGGAAAAGGGTGGAGAAAAATCCATATGCTGTTGACAGCAAAATGTATGGGAACAGTTTTGAAGCTGTAGGGTTTAGCCTTCTGTTTTCATGATAGGTGAAACTCGCTGGGATTGTGGGGCACACTGGAATGTCTTGGGGGACCAACTGTGAGGCACCAGCACCAGGCTCTGCTGGTGTCCTGGGATAAGRCAGACATACTTGAGTAGATGATGTGCACACTGTGCTGCTTAATGCAATGCAGAGCTCTGTGTTGGGCCCTGTTTGCACCAAGGCAGCAGTCTCTGCACTTGCAGATACCAGCACAGAGCAACTTTTGTCACTGGCCTGCAAAGGAGGTGGAAAGGGAGTTGAAATGGGTCATACTACCACCTTCTAATGGCTCTGCTGCTCTAGAGCTAGCTGCTGTGACTGATGTGTGGAGATGGCAAGAGAGATGGTCAGGTGGGAAGGGTGTCTCTGGGTCTCTGCAACACCTTCATCTTGCAGCCACTGCAAACTCRTGCAGAGAATCAGGAGATGCAGAAACTTTTGGAATGAAAACTCTATCTGCTAATTACAGTGCACACTGTTGGGCTGGAAAAGACAAGGCATGAGCAACWCTACTAAAATATAACACAGCTAATCACAGGGAAGTGTGAAGSAATGGTTCATGTTCTGTCCCAAAGCTGCTTTTATTGTGGACTCCTTCCAGTGCTGGTCTAGCTCTTTGGAAGGGCAGAGGTTGGCACAACAGGTTTGCTGAAGTTTTAATGCCAAATTAATTGGTGATACCAAAGGACAGCATTCCTTTGCTGTTTTACTTGACTTGTGTTAGCAATAAAATCAGACCTAGAAGCTAAATAGCCTAGTAAATGATGTAAAATCAATTCTAACTTTATCTCTTTCACCACAGTTGTACTGAAGGCTCTGGTGTGTGGATGGTGTGTGTTCAAGGTGATAGCAGTGTCAGTCTGGACCAGTTTGTGTAAATTGTCAGCSTTATCTGATCCTGCTTCTCTTAGGAGCATAACTCTGCCCAATTTACATTGTGGGGAAAAGGCAGGGTTCAAAACTGTGCCTAGATTTGAGGCTCCTCAACACAGGCCTCCATTAGCAGGCCTTTCCTTAGGCCAGCAGCAGTGAAATCTTCCTTGTGGCTCCCCTTTGGCCTCGGGGCATGTCTCATTATCGGATTAAAGCCCAGAGTTAAACAAGTCCTCGGGGAATGGAGGATGTGGTGCCTACTGAGCCTGCTGCTCCAGCCACAACCTTTTSCTCAGGCCAGATAAGGCCTTCTGTGACTTAGCAGCAGGTGGAGAGATAAGGTTTGTTTTACAAAACCTGTTCCCAAATAAACCCGGGGAACATCCGCCTTAAACCCAGACACCATTAGCTCCTTGGAAGCTAATTAAGCAGGGGGAAGGGGCTGGATTCCCCTGTCGCCACAAATCCATGGGCAGGTAGCGTGGTGGGGCGGCCTCCTCCCTGCTCGCTGGTTGTGGCGGCGCGGGCGGCTGCTCGGACTTTCCACATGCGTGGGCGGGCGGCGGCTGCCGGGGTCAGCGTGAGGTAAATGAGAGGTAAGCGCAGGGCCCACTGCAGCCAGGATTAGCTGCCTCACTGCCCTCCATGATTTTTGGGTCAGTGACTTTGTGAAAGGAGAGTGTGTCTAGTGCTGTAGGAAGGGTGGGCAGGAGAGGATGATGTGATGAAGGAGGAGATGAAACTGGAGCTGGATTTCTTCCAAAGTAAAAAACTGTCCAAGAACTTCTTCTCTGGAGGTCTTTAAAACCCACCTGGATGCCACCCTGTGTCACATGCTCTGGGTGTGCCTGYKTGWGYRGGAAGGTTGGACTAGATGATCTCTAGAGGTCCCTTCCAACCTTGAATATTCTGTGGTTCTGTGAAGAACTTCTCCAAGACACAGATTAAATATTCTTCCCTCTTCCCTTGCATATCAGTCAGCGGGCGGCTGCGCAGCTTCCTGGAAGCTACTGGACAAACGATGCCGTCTCTGTTCTCCTTCCGTCTTCYGTGTTTCTCCCTGTCTCAGGCAGGAGTTTATGTGGCTGTGAGAGTCCTTTTCTCCAGGMCTTAAATCTATCCAACGGGAAACTTACTGCCAATTCGGAATTAAAAGGGAAAGGGAACACGGATCAGACTCTTGGACTCGTGTCTATACATTGAAAATTCCGCCTCCTAATAAAAAGGAGCATTTCCTAAGCTCCAGCTCTAGACCGCTTACAAATGCAGAGCGCTCAAATCCTAACCAGGGTAGGCTAAAGCTGCTGGGAGATGCTTTTCTTAATGTTTTACTAAGCAAAGGAAACTGAGAGTTACTGAAGTCCTTGCACATAAAGGGAAGTACTAACTGCTCAGCTTCAGGCTGGCTGGAGCTTGTGGGGGGCATCAGAAGGATCCAGGCTTAGCCCCATAGTCCTTCATCTGTTCAACTGTGAGCAAACCTTTAGTTCAGGAGCATTCAGAGCCTGCAAGTTTACCACTGATACGTAAGCTCTCAGGTTCTGTGTTGTATTTGCTTTGCTGCGAATGTTACAGAGCAAGACAACCTCGGGAGTGCCAAGAGCAAAGCACAAAACTGCAGACTCTGCAGAGGGTGCATTCCAGACAGCTGAAGACTTGCAAGTAGGTTGGCAGACACCCTCCTCAGAAGGCAGTAGAGTAGAATAAGGACCTAGAAAACAGTGATAAAACCTTTGCGAGCAAGAAGACAGGATTATTGCCCACATGGTAACACAAGCCAAAGAAAACCTTCTGCTGAGGAGCAACAGAGCCCTCAAATGTGAGTCTGAAGCAGCAAGTAGAAGTTTCATCCCTTTGTAAGACTTGATATCCAGGGAGGCCGGAGTGAAGTCTGCACCAGTCTAAATTTTTGGTTAGATATAAGAGAAATTGAAAGCCTTAGACGATCTTACAGGAGCATTCGAGCTTGAATTTGGACCAGAAGTGTGGTGCATYGATTTTTTTCAGTTTATCCATCTGTAAAAAGCATCAAAAATGACAGCAGGAAACCTGACTTCCCACTGTGCTGTTAGGGAACTCGCACCTCGCACAAACAAATGGTCTTTTACTTGCTGCTTTTCTCTTATGCAGGCTGAAGCCTTCACCTGACTGTGAATGGCATTAGGGACTTAAACTTCCAATGGAAAAAATCAGCACTAAAGTTCATGCTGTTAGAGGGATAATCAACAAATTCTCTCTACTCTGAATGGCTTGGTTTTTAATAGGATCATCTTGCGAGGTTATATGTAGGATATTAAAGATCATGAAGTAAGTGTTGGGTCATGAAGAGACTTATGTCCAAGAGTTGCAGCACATTCAGATGTAACTTCAGGAGGTCACTGGTCATCTGTGGCTTAGCTATCCTTCCATGTGCGTTGCCTGACAATTCATTGCACCAGTGGCAACCCATGAGAACAGGAGGCTGTCTGGGTATTTGAAACAGCTGAAAGGGACAACTGGCTTTTTATTTTGCAATAGCAGTGTGAAACTATAGAGTGTTAGGCACATGAAGTTTATTTCTTACTTACTCAACCCGTTTGATGCCTTACTACTTTCTCTTTTTCTTTATATTCCATCACTCTTCAATTCATCAGTTATTTTTTCAGCATTTGCATTTGACTGCTCCAGCCCTACTGAGAGGCTCAAGTCCACGTTGACACAAACTCATGACTCTGGGCATCAAGCTTGATGCTTACATTGGCAGTTGTAGTGGTTCTTTTTCCTCMGCTTTCCACATAGCTGTAGGTTGTGAAATGCGTATGCACTTGCAGTTGAGCAGTGTTTTGCAAATATTTTCTCAAAGCTTGTGAAATACCTCAAATATGATTTATTTTTTTATTTCACTGTTGATCTGCTTGTAAACAACAGGCCTGTAAAGAGAAGTCCCATCTCCTGTACATCATTTATAGTCTTTGTTCAGAAATCACTGTTAGTCTTAAATGAAAAAGTGCAAGAGAGCTGACAGTGAAAGCACATTAAAGATACTATTCAAATCGTTCAAGTTAAAGCATGTTTTAATTATTTTAGATTCAAAGCAGAAACAGCTTGACCATAACAAAGGTTTCTTGTTGCAGATCATCCTGTGGGGTCGAACTGAGAAATGCCTGAAAGAGACTGCGGAGGAAATCAAGATGATGGGGACCGAGTGCCACTACTTCATTTGTGACGTAGGAAACCGTGAGGAGGTTTATCGGCAAGCCAAAGCTGTGCGGGAGAAGGTTGGTGTTTGTGGAAACAAGGTTTAATCATTTACTCATCTTTGATGGGCAAAAACACCTTCCCTGACAAATTAGGAAAGAAGCAAAGGCGCACATTTCTTCATTTCGGAAGGTTTTTGTCCTGTTGTATTTATTGCCACAGCGTAAATGTTTTCACCCGTGCCAACAAGATATGGATGACAACTAATCAAATTTGGGCATTTCTGTATAATGGTACTTAAATAMCTGTACTAGAGAAAAGTAGTGGAAAACTTGTCTTCCTAATTTATACTAATTCTGTATTCTTATAATACAARGATGAGCTTGAACAGAGAAGAGATGTGTGAGAGACTGGGTTCAACATGGATCCAAATTATACTGTACAAGACCTAGTTATTGGTTTATGTGATCCAGGAGGATTACTAAACCCATGGGCAAAAATGCCAAAAGCTATGGAAATAGTAATGTATTCGGGCACTCCTGGAAGGCCAGTGGTGACTCCTGGTTTGTGAGGAGAGGTGTTAGTCAAGTCATTTGTTTTTCTGCAGGTGGGTGATATCACTATCCTAGTGAACAACGCTGCCGTGGTCCACGGTAAGAGCCTCATGGACAGCGATGATGATGCACTGCTCAAATCACAACATATAAACACATTGGGACAGTTCTGGGTAAGTTGAGCTCTTCTAGCTCGTGTATTCAGGGAGTGGGAGTGACAGATAACTACCAGTAAACACTTGGCTGCTGGTAGGCCTTTCTAAATGATGCTTGGTAAGGTCAGTCTGACACAGAAGAGAGACATGAAGAACAATCTGAGGGGCAAAGGTCAGAGAAAAGACCAACAAAATTTTGACAGACTCTCTCAAATGGATTTCAGTTACTTCTAAAATATCATATTAAAAGCTTCCAATAATTACACAGTATTTGATGTTTTTGCATCCCCATTCTGAGATTTCCAGTAGAACATCAGATATCTTCTGAGAAAGGCCAAACATGCAGATTTTCTGCCTAGTGATGTGTGTGGAAAGTGAGAGGAGCATGAGGCTGCCTTGCTCAAGGAAGGAAGCTAGCATGAACTCATTCCATTTCTAAATAGATATAATCATAATAACAAAGAAAATGAGTTCTTTGTGATCTAATCTCTTTACTGGAGACTTTATCCTCTTTAAGAACTTCTTAAACATACAAAACATTCTGTTCATGGCTTTTATCTGTGGGCACCACTCACTTAGATGCTAGGAAAGATTTTGCTTTTTTTATGCACAAACTTTGCTTAGAAGCTTCCAAAGAATGACTTGGTGACAAAGCATTCTCCTACCCCTTCCTTAGCTTAATGGGCAGTAAGTTCAGCTTGTTGTCTCTGTCACGTTATTTTTCAGTCACTACTGTTTTTGTTGCATCTCTGCTGAGCCAAACTTTATTTTTTTCCTCTCTCTCTATCTTTGTTGTTCTTCAGACCACCAAAGCATTCCTGCCAAGGATGCTGGAGCTGCAGAATGGACACATTGTTTGCTTGAACTCTGTCCTGGCCTTGTCAGCCATCCCTGGTGCCATTGACTATTGCACCTCCAAAGCCTCTTCCTTTGCCTTTATGGAGAGCCTGACCTTGGGCTTGCTAGACTGTCCTGGAGTGAATGCCACAACAGTYCTGCCCTTCCACACAAGCACAGAGATGTTTCAGGGCATGAGAATCAGGTCAGTCCAGGGGAGCTAGAAGAAAACATCTCATTTTAAATGAATCATCAGAATACACTCCTAATTAATGCTTCATTTAGTGAAGAGAATTTGATGTCTCATTTGGCTGCCTGGGAACAGAGGGTCACCCTAGGCTGCCTGGGACTCATCAGACTGGTTCCTTCGGTTTGCTGGCACCTTCCTACACACTAGCTGCCTGCACTGTGTGAGAGGCTATCGCAGCATTTCCTTCTACAGAGAAAACTGAAAGCTATTTTTCACTGAGTGTTTTGGGGCCGTTTGTAGCCACTAGAGAGGGAGGGGATGCAATCTGAAGATTGAGGTCATTCAAAAGGGAGCAGCCTGTCAATTACTTGAGAATTAACAGTACAAATTCCTTCTTTATTYGTTCAAATTTGTAATTCTTTCCCATTGTAGGGAATTGCAGCCACAGACTTAAATTAATCATTTACAAGGGACAGAATGACCCATTAATGTAGTTTGTGCTCCTTTAGCCAAGGGAAAACTTGCAATGTCACGCCAGGAGAAATCTTATTCTTGGTATCAAAAGCGGTGAGGGAAGCTCACCTGTCAAGAGTTTGAATTGMGCAGAGTCGAGCACATTGACGCTGAAAGGACAGTGTTGTGATGTTAATTTGCAGACTGCCTAAGAAAACCTCTGAAGCAAGGGCCTGAATACACTCAGCCACTGCCTTCTAAAGACTGCAGCATGTTTGTTCCTTCACTGTTTAACCAGTCCAGTATTACTGGCTGCAACACACTTATAGACCTTGACTTTCATTCTCATTCTCTGTTCCTTSCAGTCCATTTTAGGGTATCAATGCCACTAATCAGGAATAACTTAGAGGGCCCCAGGACTTTGACTGATATCTTAAACAACGTTAACTTGGTTAATGAGTAATATTTTTTTTTTGCTTTATTTATTCAGGTTCCCTAACCTTTTTCCTCCTCTCAAGCCAGAGACTGTGGCTAGGAGGACAGTGGAAGCTGTTCAGATGAACCAAGCCTTCCTCCTCCTTCCATGGACAATGCGTGTGCTCGTCATCCTAAAAAGGTAAATATTTCTATTGCCAGCTCTAGCCTAGACAGTTAGGTATGACCACGTTACACTCTGGCTGTCTATACACCAAGGTGAACTTCAATTTGACTGTTACCTGATACCCAGGACCAGACTCCTTCAACCCTCCCACAAAGGACAGAGATAGGAGCAAAGGGGAGGAAACTCTACAGCCAGCAGGCTCTGAGAGATACTGAGAGCTGCTTTTTCTGCTTTCACTAGCTACCTGATYGTGCTCATGTGTATACATACGCATGTGCATATACACCTGCACACTTACATGTCCTCTTATTAGAATGCATTGAAAGGTTTGTCTGTCTGGCTCACTTTCTTTCTGCTTTCCCAACAGCATTCTTCCTCAGGCAGCACTTGAAGAAATCCACAAGTTTTCTGGAAGCTATACGTGCATGAACACTTTTAAAGGACGAACATAGGCTTGATGGTGCAAGGACTGTTCCCAGTGAAGCCAACACAAGCATGAGAATCCTGTCAAGACTCTGAATCAGCCGTCTTGGCTTTTAGCCTGCTCATGTGGCTTGTGCTGCTCTAAGGCAACACATTTCTTGCAGGTCATAACCATAGTAACGTGACCTTTGCACAGGACTGAATGACTAGACTGTGGACCTTTGGAAAGAAAAACAAGAAGGGTGAAATGTTTATTTGGTGTTTAATTCTTTAGAGTCCATTGTTAAATCTACTCACAGTTTTAAGATGTAATTTTTGTTTATAAAATATGTATAGGGTATTTCAGCTGAGAGCAGAGTATCATATCCTGGACTTTACCCATCTCTTCAAAGGAACTGCAGTTACTAACTGATAGTGATTTCTTTCCTGCTTTTTAATGAAGGAGAAAAAAAAAAAAAACTTTGAAGAACTACAAATTATGGACATTTAGTGGAAGCTTCCTTCACTCACTGGTCATGTTTTTCATTCACTGATGAAGCTGTTCCAAACTCATGTCATAGGGAAGGGGCAAAGTGCTGTTACCTTTAATAAAGGCCATTCAGTCCAGGGCCCAGAGAACTGACTGCACCTGTGAAGGCTGGATGGGAATGCTCAGTCAGAGAAGAGCAGACAATTGGAATCAGGGAAGATTCAGATTCCTTCTGGCACTCATATATAAATTTTAATTGTCTTTCTGAATATTTTTGTCCATTTATGAAGATATATATATGATAATATATAAGCATTACTCTGTAGACTGGCACACACATGTAGGCATCAAATTGGGGATAAACAAAATCTAGAGCCTGCTTATGCAAACATACATTCCCTGGTGTAATTCATACAGAAGAAAATTCCTTGTATCAATCCTCACAGTGAAATAAGTGAAATAATGCTCTAAAAAGAGGAGAGAAGCGCTCTAGTGCTCATGGAGTGTGAAGTTTGCAAAGACCCGATTAAATGCACATTGAATTTGACTGGGAATATACCTGTTATTTTTTAGGGAGTCAAATCACCGGCTAAAAGCGATAAATACTGCTTGGGCTGAAATGCCAGAAGCAGCTAGACCTTATTTATTTTTGTAATGATATTCTCTAACAGCCTAGTAGGAACAATATTGCACTCCTGTGCAGCATGAGGTATAGCAGTGTATTTGAAACTTTATTGGAACGCTACTAAAAGAGGAATTAATACAATAGCAATACAGGCAAGTAGCAAGTCTGATGGGAGAACGCCTCAAGAAAGTGCCTCAAGGAAAGCCGTGTTGTCCAAGTAAAGAAGTGAGARTTCCTGGCTTGAATTTCAAGCTTTTTCATAGATGTCCTGTGTGGCTTTGGACAAGTCACCTCATCTCAGAGTGCACCTGACCTTCAAAACAGGTATTTGTAGTGTTTCCCTGCCTCAGAAGTTGTAAATGCAACTACCTTGATGCTTGTCTGATGATAAGCAAATTCAAATGGAACATGACATAGAAAGTCAAGGCTGTATTTGTTTAGAAACCAAAASGTGTTATGCAGAAACAGAGAAGAGGGGAAAAAAATCTATATTCCAAAATAAGAATATCATTTCCTAGAATAGATCTGGGTTCTAGAAGAAAAACTGAGCTGCATTTGAGCTACTTCTTTGGTTCTGACATATAGAAGGAGGACCAGCTAATTAGATGCGGTAATGRGCATGTAAAAATCTGAAGGTCTGAKTCTTGATGCAAATCAGTAGATACCTCTTTGGACATTTCACGATGCAGATACTGCAAAGAGTGCCATTGATGCAAGGCCGGTTGCCTGCATGGATGTTCAGATTCTCCTGTCTGGCTCAGTACTTTCCTTCTCAGTGCAGAACATATAAACTGGAGCACTGTGCCAGCTTTGCAAAGATTTCTTATGGTGTAGTTCTGTTTTGAATTCCTAGATGTCTGCGATTCTCTGGAGAGGATGAGAAGAAAGTTTGATCTCCGTGATTCTGATGTCCACCCTAGTAGATGCTTTCAGGTTTTCTGTCTCTTTTTTGAAAAGAGAACTAGTTCATTGAAAACACAGCTACAGTGAGGGGGGAGAGTCCTTCCAGGATCAGCCAGGAATACTAAAGGTGCCATGAAAACCAAGAGCCRTTGGGGAGGGGAAGGGATGATTACACCTACCTCCCCTTAAGCGCWCTAAGCCTTTCTATTTTCTCGTTAAGCACAGGCAGGCATGCCAGGCTTGTAGATGCAAGAGCAAACAGGTCTGGGGAAGGATGGCATCCCGCCGCGTCCCTCTTAAATCAGACATTTATGTTGCTAGGCCGTTCATTAACAACATCCTGAGGCAAGGAGTGGATAAAAAACAACACACAGAGTGAAACAACCTCCCCARTAATCCCCCTGTGCTTCCCCTTAGATGAAAAGTGCTGTTTTCTGAGCTGCAGAAGTGATGCTCCCTGTCCGCAGAGATTGTCTTACATCCTAAGTGCTGCTGATCTCGTTTTAATGCAGCCAGATGAGCCAGAGTTTAGCTAAGACTCCCTGGTCTGGCTCTCCCCCTCGTACACAAACACTTCCCTCTCATCCCCTCCGGCTCCCTGAGCGGACAGCAGGTCAAATAGCAGGCACAGTGGGGGAGAGGTATGCAGCAAACAACAAATAATGAGGAAAACATTGACTTTGCTTTTTAGATAGGAGGGAATCGCTGGGTAAAGGAGTTTTTCTCTCTCGTGAGCGCTGGGAGGTAGAAGGCCCTGCACCCACACGAACAGCGCTCGCAARGTCGGCTGGATAAATTTGGAGGCGTTTTTTTAAGGAAAGGCTCCCTAGGAATGCCCGGCAAGGCCTCCCGTCTTGTCTCATACGTGGCTGATACTGGGTAACCAGGAACCGCTGCAAATGTAGGCAAGCTTTGTAGAAGCCTAAGGCTTTTTCAAAGGAATTTCCGCCACGTTTTGCCTTATTTTAATTTCTGCTTTCCCTGGTCTCTCCGCTGCCTCCTGCTTTCTACTGCAGTCAACGTTTTTGGGCTTTTTTCTCCTGTTTTCCTATGTCATTACTGCACTTCTGAGTGTCACCAGCTTGAAGCCAGATGTCATACAAGGAGTCTGGAATAAATTTAAATCAGAGGTRTATATTTGTTATCCTGCTGGAGAAATCTAGGAGAAGTTGGAGGAGGAGGTCCCCACTGCAGCTTCTTAAGAAACTGCCTAAACTCTTCAGGTTTTATTTGCTCTAATCTGTGGAGAGAAGACTCCATAGTAGAGTTTTTATATGGGAGATTTCTGCTGCCTGTCTTTAAACTGGAATGACAGRAAAACATTAGCTATTATGGGGGCATGCATTGCTTTGGCATAAAGAAAGGAGACCCTGTGTTTAAATAGAAGGATTTTTCAGTTCCAGCTACTTAAGAGGCTGGTGCTTTGTAGTAATTAACTTTTAAGAGCTAGTTAGCCAGGGTGAGAAAAGAAAGGGAAGAGCAGAAAGCATCCTTTGTAAGTAAATCTCATTTCTTGTCTTCCACATTTGATTTTGTGATTTCCATTTAAATCATAATAATCCTGTCCCTTGGTGCACCCTGGTGAACTTCACAAAGGTGCTTTCAGCCGCCTCCCTGCTGATGGGGTAATTTAGCAGGATGAAGGAAAGCAGGAGCCTGGGAAGAGGGAAGTAAGCCCTCCTCGTCTTTTGTTCTGCTGAGGTTAAAAAGTGACAGAGTCCATCCCTGTAGCTCTTCTAGAAGCACAGAAAGTGCCTGGGCGAGCGCTTCTAGCGTCTGCAAAGAGAAACTTGTTGTACTTTATGTAATGTGTTAATTAGCGTGGGTGGACGTGATCAGATCTAGTCTTGCAAGGCTTTCAGACAACTCCCAGAACACTCCCACCTTCCCATGTTAGCAGTTAGCATTGCACTTGCCAAGCTTCGTTAGAGCATGCTAACAAACCTGATGCAGGCACAGCCTAAGTGGGTGCTTTCATTTCTGGGAGGACACATCTGTTTGCACCAGACATGAATTTGGCCTAGTTGTTTCCCTGTAGCTGAAAATTAATTGCTGAGAAAAAGATACATGGTGACCTTGGATCATCTATTTTGTTTTTATTTCTTCGCTTTAGCTTTCTTAGCTTTGCTAATCTAAGCCCGGGTAACACCTCCTTTATGACTGMGTTTGTTTGTAAGCTCTTGGTGGAAAGCCAATTATGTCAAATATAATCTTTCTCATTTTTTGTCAATGAACAATGAGCACAGAGATGTTCTGCCAGCTGCAAAGCTCATCCATCATCTAGGTACGGTGAGGGCTGGATCTCCATCGCTCCCAGGACATCCTGCCTTAGATTTGACCCTGGGCTGGTTCTTGCCTTTGAATCTCCAATTGCAAACCTTGAACATGGCGAAAAAGTTAAGCCAAGCTCTTCTTCATCTTCTCTTTGTTTTGCAGTGCTTATATTTTATTTACAAAGTGCATTATGGACTTTATCTGCGTTATGCTGTTGACCTGATGAGTGCTCCAAGGTACTTACCAGGCATGTGCTAATATTAATATTAGCTGAAAGGAGACAATTCTTTCCTATCTTTACCTGGAAAGACAACTAGTAGTGTCTTTATGCAGAGAGAAGACTGAAAAAAAAAAAAAAAAAAAAAAAAAAACAGGAGAGTGATAGGGATTCTGGAATATTTTGGCTATATTGAAAATGCTGACATATGGAATAAGGGTTTATAATTAAAAGCGATCCTCTCAGAAGAACGCTAACAGGAGATGGAAATGGAGGTAATGGAAAATAAGTGATATCAGAATACAGCATTCCTCTTCCTGGGAATGCTGACTTCATGCCATGGTGAAGTCTGAGAGAGGTCCCTCCACCTCCTGCCAGTTTGTCTGTAACAAGTGATATTAGAGGTGACAAGCCCATTCCTTCTGCCTTTTCAACTGCTGAATGTAGAGCAAATATATATATATACATATCCACACAGATACACATTTAAGATCTATCCTTCAAAGAACAAAGCAGCTGGGTTACAGGGTTACAGCCTTGGCAGTGCTGTAAAGTCACAGACAATAAGCCCAARTATTGCCCAAAGCTGAGCAATATTTTGTCCATATTCTAAGAGAGGGGACCCATATAAAAGAGCATAGAGAGACAGACACCAGCAGGCAATGTTGTAGACGTTTTAGTAGCTGAAGAGGCTCTAACTTCCACTTTTCTAATATTCTTTAATATTGTACAATTGAACCTTCTGACAAGTTACTCAACCGTTTGCTACTGCAAAAAAACCTCTCTTCAGCCAGACAAGTGTTATCATAGTGATGAATCCTAAAATGTATTTGGCGTCTCTCTTTGCCTGCTGGTATAATAGAGGTTTCACAGGCTCATTAATCAAATGCCTTAATTTTTTCTAGAAGGGATCCAATGCTGGCACAGAAAAATGTGTAAGCAACGGTGTTGATGTCCTGCATTAATAGTTTCTATGTATATTMAAAAAAAAAAAGTGATGCACAGAAAGCCACACATAATTGTTCAGCCGAATGACTTCTCTGGTTCCACCATTACAGGGTTATAGCTCCCTGCTCTGAACATGTTTTGATGACTTTTTAAGCAAAGACTCAATATGTCATTCATTCCAGTTTTAAAAATAGGTTTCCTGAGATATGTCATCTCTGTTCAGCCAAATTACAGATGTGTAAGTTTTCTCTTATAAAACCATACATTTATTCGTAATTCAGACAAGAATTCCTCACAGCTGTCATTCTCCACATCAATAAAGAAGCTAATTATTTTGAGCCCTAAAAGCCCAATACTTAGGAGCACTTCTTAGGGCAATTTCTGGCCCAAGATGYCCTGCATCCTGTGATGCAATCTGTCTGTTAGGCTGTATTGCAGTCATCAGTATTTCCTTTTAAGAAAATTTATTCATATTTTCAGTCAGATTTAACAATAGATCTTAATCTCATACTRTAACGGAGTAAAGAATTAAGATTTGGTGGACTGAGTGGTGATTGAGTGCTGGACGGACTCAGCCATATGGCTCGCGGAGCCATAGGAGCCGTGCTGGGTTTGTTGACTTTGGGCTTGCTTTTTGCTGATCCCTTCATTTTTCATTGTTTCATCTGCCTCTTCCGATTT